CAAAGGGAGAAATAGTCTTTCACAGAATTCGCTTTTTAAGGACTACAACAAATGGCTGGTAGGGACTACAACTATCTACTTCCTGGGTTAGTGACATCACAAATCCTGAAATTTACATAAACCCTACCCAACAGAGGGGGTAGGGTTCTGGAAAATTATAATCCAAATATAGCTCTCTCTGCTGGACTTTTTACAGAGCACAGCTTCCTCAATCTACGCGAGTTCAATGCCAGATTCACCCAAAAGCTTGTCCGCAAAGATGGAGCAGTTCAAACTATAAAAGCAGAAGCTATTTTTAATATATTTTTTTATTCTTTGTTGATGTGTTTTTCATTAATATTTTATATCGTAAATTTTATGTTGTAGTATGGAGAAAGCTTTAGTACGGATAAAACCATATATCAAAAGACAATGATGCTTGATCCTCTTGAATAATATTCTCTCTGGCTCAAATTGATAAGGCAATATTGATGCCATTGTTTACAATACATCGGGAGTGCATGCAACTACCCGTTATTGTAAGAGGCATGATGTTTCTGGACAACGTGCACTTGGCCATTAGCGAATCACAACACACTGGACCAACTAATGAATCTGAGCCCATTGCGAATTTCTGAGGGAAGAAACAGGAAGTCAACAGACAGTTTTGAGAAAAAAAAAACTTTGTGGCACTAATGAAACTACTGCTTTAGTAGATCAGTTTACAAGTGTATCAACTAAATGTTTTGGACTGAATGGAATCACTGACTTCACTGGTTTTGTTCCATCAACGTCACATTTCAGTCATCCCCATCAGCAGCTTATTTCCAAGAAGAAAAAAAAAACGACATTATTTACATAGGCAAAATAAATGTATGCATAGTCAAACGAACTGCACAAAAGTTCATCAGAGGCAAGAAAGATTTTTTTTTTTAATAAGCAAGTGAGATTTGAGGCAGATTAATGTAGGTGGAGCTTGAAAATGAAAAAAAAATGCAAAAGTCTTGTGATCTTGTGAAGTCTTTACGACGGGAAAGAAAAAAGGTCATACAGGTTAGAACAACATGGAATAATGCGAGAATTTAAGTAAAAATGTGATGCAATGAATTTTAATACAAAAGTGAATACAAACCTTAATGTAGTTCAGGACTGTTGTCCCTCAGTTTTCTCCAGAGGCGGACAGTAACTAAGTACATTTACTTGAGTATTGTACTTAAGTACACTTTTTGAGTATCTTTACTTTACTTAAGCAGTGTTTCTGTTGTAAAGTTATACAGCTACAGTTGTGTTGTTGGGTTTTAAATCAGGGTTGATTTTTGATTTTCTTCCTCATCAGTCTGTATTTACAGCAATTTCACTGTCCACTCTGTTCAAATGTGGATGAATGGCTACACATAGATGT